TCCAGCATCCCCTTAAGGTTGGTATTGCGCTTGTCGTACGAGAAAATTTTCGAGCATGTTGATTGGTTCCAGGATAGTAAAGTTCTCGAGTATCTGGAAGTTTTCTATCTTAAAGAAAAATGTGTCGTACGACGAATGTAATACCAGCCTAATAGAACAGTCGGCGTTTTAGACGCAAATCGACACGTGTCGCTTTCCATTTAGAACTTGATTCAAACACTCAATCGACGCTCTTCGACTCCGCTCAGTGGGAGCGTGGGAGTTTTCGGCCGAATAACGTATTTCGAGATACAGAACCTTTTTCTTAAAATCTTGTTCTTTAAATCTTCGCCACTACACGGCGGCAAACTGTGCTCGAGTTTGTTAACTCGTGTCGATTTGTATCTCCTAAAGCCGCGTGTCCACGATCCAAGAACTGTGTCGCAAGTTTTAGCTCCGTGAAACGCGTAGCCCCAATCAACCTGCATCTTTTACGGAAAGAGCTGCAAGTCGATTGGCTACACATTTCTCGGGACTAGAACTTGGACACGAGGCTTTAGGAGACACGAATCGACGACACGATCGGAACTAGAACTTGGAACAAGTTCTAGCATCGTGGATACAGGCCTTGAGAGGAGAGCAGCCAATGTCTGTACGGTTCAAGGGGCTTGTCCCAGAGCGTGAAATAAATAATGATTCCAATAATGATTCGACTCCTCCCTTCTTCCTCCTCGTACGTAAGACGCGTACGTTTTCCCGCACGCACCTACACGCGGCTTCGATAACGTGACGCGCATTAACCTCGGGAGGGGAAGGGGGGAGGTCGAGGCGCGCCGGGTAACGCGAGAAGTCTGTAGCTCGTCGCATCGATAACTTTATCAGCGATAAGGGAATAATAAAAGATATTACGAATCTTGGCTTCTGCCAAAGGTAATAAAGAAAGAGATTAGCGGTCGGTGACGTAAAGAGAAACCCGTACAAAATTGCCTTTTCAAGGAGGATAAAAAATGTGATGCGACCCTCGTCGCACTTAATTATTTTCCGCGCACAAACTCCTGTTCTACGGGGAAGGACGGGACAAGGGGGAATCCTGCGAATCTTTTATTTAAAAAGACGGCGAGCGACGTGAAGAGGAGCGTAACGAATGTAGCGACCTTTCTTTGTGCCTCTAAAAATTCTCGGTCCTCTCGACGCTACGGCTCGAGGCGAAGCTGCTTCTTCCAGGGCACAGCAATGGGCGGAATAATGGTTGCGGCACTTTTTGAAATGAGTTTAGGAACGCGCATGTAGATTCAGGTTTGCATTCCAAAACGTTCCAAATGGTTTCGAAATAGCCATCGAATAATTTTGTTTGTCGAGGAATATTTTACTCGATGGCCATTCCGAGACCATTTTCAGCGTTTTCGATCTGTGTCTAAAGTAAAATTTTCCTCAGAGAAAAAATGTCTTGGGACGTAAACCTGAATCCAGATGCGCGTTTCTAAACTCACTGAAACCATGTCGCAACCATTCTGTCCGCCACTGTACAGTGATTAGCAAAATATTCCTCGGAGAAGAAGATTCTGGAACGTAACCTAAACAAGGTGTCGCGACCATTCTGTCCGCCATTGTACAGTAATTAGTAGAATATTCCTCGGAGAAGAAGATTGTGGAACGTAACCTAAAAAATGTGTCGCGACCATAGATATAGTAAATAAGGCTGAGCGTCCCATTGAATAAGCTGAAGCTTTGAAGAGAGAGAGAGAGAGAGAGAGAATTTAAGAAGACTTTCTTTCTCTGTCTTATATCATTGTAAAAGAAAAAAATTGTGCCTGCGCCTCCTTTGTCACGATGGTGAGACAGAGAAAGAAAGTCTTCTTAAATCTATCTCTCTCTCTCTCTTCACAAGTTTCAGCTTATTCAATGGGACGCTCAGGCCGGTATTCATAGTCCGTTCTTATATTTAAGATCATCTTAAGTATACTCTTAATGTGTTTTTAACCAATCACAGAGCCGTATTAGTCTCTTAAGACAACACTTGCGATGATTTTGAAACAAGAATCGACTATGAATACCGGCCTCGGTCTATATTTGCTATGTCTATGGTCGCGACCATTCTGTCCGCCACTGTACAGTGATGGACAGAATGGTTGCGACGCTTGTTTCAGGTTACGTTGCGGAATCGTCTACTCCGAGAAATAGTTTACTCAATGGCCGTTCCGAAACCATTTGGAGCGTTTTCAATCTATTTCTCAAGTAAAATTTTCCCCGGAGACAATGTTTCGGGAACGTAACCCCGAATCTAAATGCGCGTTCTTCGTACGCGTAAAAAAAAAGTGCCGCGACCATTCTGTCCATCACTGTGCAACGAGCTCTCGAGATCTCGCGGCGCTGATTAACGAATCTTCGTTCCTCCCGCGGTGCCGTTCTAATTGGCGAGTCGCTCGCTTTTTTCTCTCTCCTTTCGGAATTTCTCCAATTAGCGAATTCCGCGGTTCTGCGCGGAACCACTTTCGATCGACCGGGCGCCGAGTCGGTCCGAGCGCGCGAGTTCGTTGTACATTTCAGCTTCCACCGCTTTGAAAAACGTCGTATCGCCCTCGCGGGATCTCCTTCGGAAAATGGAATATCGGAATTTCGATGCCGAGCGTAATTGCTGAAAGTTCGATGAATGGAAATCGATTCGCTCCTCGTCGTCGCGCCGAGGGTGCGCTTCTCTTTGAATCGCGTATCCGACCATTTCCCCGCTTCATCAACAAAGAATCGTATGAAAAATTATGACTAAACGCGGGCGTTTGTTCACGTTTCTCGAGGCGCCGTGCACGTGGGACGCTCGTGAGAGGCCGTGGGTGCGCGTCCAAGGCTGCTACAGTCTCGCCGGATTGTCTCGACTATTCACGGCGCGCGGGATAATCCCGAAAATTCGGGCTCCTTGTCAACCAACCCGGCTCCACGTTGGCATAATCGGTCCCGAGGGCGAAGTCGGAGAGCGGAGGCTATGCGACGTAGCGACGTGACTCTCCCAGGACGTGTCGGGGTGCGAGGAGCGACGACGTTCGGAATTCGAGGGTGGCCGGAGGAGGAAAGCGAGACAGTGAGCGGGGTGGGCTTAGTCGGGGAACGGGGGCGGGAAGGTGAGCAAAGGGGTGAGAGAAGGTGGCGGAGGAAGAGGGTGGCTAGCAGAAGGAAAGTATTGATCTGCCTGCTATCCCGTGCTGCCGCACACCGGTATACCGCGTTCACCGTAACGTCCCGCTTTACGTCACATCCCTCCCCTCCCCCTCGCCGCCGTGAACTTGACGGCACCGGCTTGGTCGGTAACGTCGGTGCGTGCGTCGCGTCGCGACGCATTGATCCACGCATCGATCTGCGGGTCCTTTCCTCCCCTCGCCGTTATTATGGGTCTCCGGGTTTCCGGGGTTCGTCCTCCCCCTTTCTGCCTCCCTCCTCCTCCCCCGCGCGAGAAAGGTGGCGACGTGCCACTTGTGCCATTTTAAGCGCGGCCAAGTGCGAGCGCGCGGGGACTGGAGGGCGGAAAGTTTCTTGAATTCCGACTTTCGCGCTTTGAATGGAGACATCGGCTTCGGGTCGAGGTGAAGACAAGTTCCCGACTTGCACGTCCGAGTTATACGGGAAGGCAAACGGTTTGATCGCGGTTGTGCGCGCCGCATGGCACAGTCAGCGTTTGCGCTTGTCATTTATCTCCGATGGAGAGACCGATGCCGCGCGAGATCTTCTTCCTGGAACCCGCGGCTTCAAATCGAAGCTCTTATCGCTCGCGCTTCGACGATCTTATGCAACTTTGTCGCTAGCACTCCACCTTTATTAGTATCATAGTACAACTAGCAGGTCCACTCCATCATTTATTCGGTTTTGCGTAGGTTCCTTCTGCGCATCCGTCGTTATTTCGGCTAGACCGATGAGAGAAAAGTTGTACGTGTGGTAGTACAGCTTTGATGAGTACGTGTAGTAATGGACAGAATGGTCGGCAGCACTCTTTGCTTTTAATTAATTTAGGCACGTGCGTTTGGATTCAGGATTGCGTTTTGCAATTTTGTGTGCGATGGCCCTTTTACCTCCAATTACACATGACGTTACTTTTACGCCAAAACTTGTGCGCTATTTACGTTTACGCTTGCGTCTTTGTCGTAAGCTGTTACATTGCTTTATGCTCTGTCCCTAAGTCAGCATAATAAAAAATCAGTATTTTGCGTTTTCTACATACACTGTTATGATCGCTCTCTTTAATTATCCTAATTGGATTAGGGTAGACATGAGGTTAAACTTTACAAAGGGTTTTTTTTTATCAAAGCAAACCACATTTACCAAGTTTACTGTAGAAATTCTTATTTCCCTCCTTCCCTTGTTGTTAAAAGTATAATTTACCTAATAACTTTTATTATTTTCGCTATTAACTTTAAGAGAATGTAACTTGTGTATTAAATTATATCACGGCTTTAATATTTTTACTGTCGTCTTAGGTTAAAATTTATAACTTGAAAAATTTTTTATTTGTAATCTACTTTCATCTTCTGTTTTTCCATATTAACTTATTACGTTTATTAAAATAAAAATAGAATAACTTTGTTTTATCTTATAGATTACATTGACATTTTATATAATAGTTGCGACAAGTATTAAAAATTTGCTGTTCTTTATACGCTGTTTAACGAAAAATGGCGACTTCCGTTACACTGGCATAACTCTACTTATAGGAACTCTACAGATTAGGCATTAATAGCGCCGTGTGTATATACACGCCGCTGGCTTTCTGTCCAAAATAATTTTGGCGGAGAACCACGTGATCGGGACCAAAAAGATCAAAGGGCCGGCAGAGAGTGGTCCTACTAGTTACACTATGTTAATACTCTCCCTCGCCTCGATTCATCGTCTGGCTTCTTTCCTCCCTCCCGCAATTCCTTGACTTGGTCCTTTGGATAATTCGCTCGACCGCGACCACATCGGCCGGTTCGACCAATGAGGACCAGGCGGAAACGCGCGTTCCGTTCAAAACATCTGGAAGCCAAAAACAGCAGCAGTAGCAGCGCTTCCGAGCGAATATCGCTCGAATATGTGCCGATAAATACGCATTAGTAACTTCCGTGCAAAGTTCAAGGGGCAGCGGATTAATATATACCGACGCGTTCATCCCCTTTACTCCACATGCACTCCGCGCTATCGTTTCACCCGCGATAGGCACATAACATTTTATAGGCCAAACGTCCATACGCCATTTAAGCGGACAGGTTCACGAGCGGCACGGAGAGTTCGTTCCGCGGTGATTTACGAGGAATCCTTTGACAACCTGAACTTTGCAGGATAAACATAGAGAGGCTCGGAAGACGTACAATATAAAGCGAATGGATTGACTTTATATCTTGCCAGGTTTCACCGTTGATCGAGTCGACGTGTGACAAAAACTTGCTTCACGTTGAATCGTCGGGACATTTTTATGTTATATTTTCACGTGGGGAACCTTGATAATCTAAGAATCTCTTCGACAGTTCTGCTATTTAAGGATTATTATAAATGTCACGAGTAGATAAAAATGTTATATACCATCAACGTACGGAAAAATCAAGGCGCTATATATAAAAACAGTATTTTTGCCCCTCAAGTGATTTCCGTTACTCCAAAGATTGTTTTTATTAGGTAGATTGGTATTTAAAGAAGTGATACGCGTCTTGTTTTTCTTTCTTATGCAAAGAAATTGTCTTCCGTCGTAATTGCACTTTTTTTTCTACGTATCACGTGCCACTTTTACATTTATTCTACTTACAATTTGTCATATGACGATCAAGTATCGTCTTGCAGCGCACGAAAGTGTCAATGAACTTATTGTCCACGGTATTATTTGCAGAGATGGTTGAGGCGATGAAGAAGGTGGCTTCGCTAGACGTAGAGCTCACTGTTGAAGAGAGGAACCTTCTTTCGGTAGCATACAAAAATGTGATCGGAGCGAGGAGAGCCTCCTGGAGAATAATCTCGAGCATCGAGCAGAAGGAGGAGAACAAGGGTGCCGAGGGAAAACTAGAGATGATCCGCCAATACCGATCTCAAGTGGAAAAAGAGCTCAGGGATATTTGCGCCGACATCCTCGGCGTCTTGGATAAGCATCTGATACCGTGCGCCTCTACGGGAGAATCCAAAGTCTTCTATTATAAAATGTAAGAGTCCGTTCGTACAGCTTACAATCCCACTTTATACAAGTCCGTCCATTAGTTAACATTTTATATTTCTCGGAACGAAATGTTTGGAATTGTCTATCTACACGCATATTTTTAGTATCAAGTATAATTTTCCACTTTTAATATTTAATCTTACGGTGTATGTGTGTGTGTATTGTTTCATAAAAATTCTGAAAGTACAATCGCATTACAACGACCTAATATTCTTTAGATTAGTAGCCGTAAGGTTCTTAACACTGACTTAAGACACACTTTCTTTCTCAAAGGCGCTCTACATCAATCGTTGACACACTTCGTTTTTAGCTAGCACTAATTAAAACGCGACTGACCCTTACATCTCTTTTATCTTTTTTAAGAAAGACGTGAAAAAAGTTGCTGAATGCTGTATCGTGCTGCATTTCGATGGAAATTGTTATTAATCCATTGATGCGCTTTCAGGAAAGGTGATTACCATCGTTACTTGGCAGAATTTGCCATCGGTAACGACAGAAAGGAAGCGGCGGAGAACTCCCTGGTGGCGTACAAAGCAGCGAGCGATATCGCCATGACGGAGCTACCGCCAACCCATCCCATTCGTCTGGGATTAGCGCTCAACTTCTCCGTGTTCTATTACGAGATCCTCAACAGCCCTGACAGAGCGTGCCGCCTGGCGAAGGCGGCCTTCGACGACGCGATCGCCGAACTGGACACGCTGTCTGAGGAGAGCTACAAAGATTCCACCCTCATAATGCAACTCCTCAGGGACAACCTCACCCTATGGACGTCGGATATGCAGGGAGATGGTTAGTGTCTCACTTGTTTCATACAGAACATACGGAGACAAAAAGGCATCATAGATTGATGTCTCGATTGCGCTAGAATGCATTGTGTGACATGTTACCCTGCCTGTCCTCGATCAATCGACGCGTAGACAAATACCGTGCGTCGTGATATAATGATCTCATCTCCCTTCTCACTCTAATTTACCTCTCTTTGAAGAAATATTGACCCCCCGAGTTCCTCAGTGCACACTAACGGACAATCGTTGAAGCTAAAATCGCGAGTTGTGGGACATTCTGGACTTTCGCTTTCTCTCATATCGTATTTACACGTGTGCCGTTTTTTTTTCAATCGATTTCGACCTGTAAGAAATGACAAATTGCATGCAGTTTTCGAACGCAGAATCATTACTTTGTAATTCAGAATCCGAGACTGATCAGCAAGATGAAAACATCGTCGGTACCCACGATGCCTGAACGTAGATATACCCCTTTTTCCTAACGTCCTCATCTTCCCAGCATGTCTGCACCTGGTGAGCGACATAATATACTTATACAATTGTTGTAATATACTTGTACAATCCGTTTTTTTCCTACCATATTAAAAAGGGTAGGAAAAAAATGAAAAGAATCTCGCAAACCAAAATGCCTCGCTTATCAAACGTAATTTATTTTTTACGTGCATTATTTAGGTGCGTTCAACTAGATTATTCACTGACATAACATCCGTATTTTTTTTGCACAGGCGAAGCTGAACAAAAGGAGCAGCTGCAGGATGTGGAAGACCAGGACGTATCGTAACTCTAGCTGTAGTGAGTGTTATCTTGCGCATATAAAACTGAGACACAAGAAAAAACTCTTAAATAACTCGTAAGCAAAAGAAAAAAAACCAATTCAGCAGGTGGCAGTTCGGGGTGGGAAGGGGAGATCTTTAGAAATTTGCGTGACCCTTAAAAATAATAAAGCACGCACCGTACGGTTACTTCAAAACAAAGCAGCAGCAGCAATGGCAACAAAATACAAGAGCAACAGAATTAATAATAAATAAATTCATTCAGTTTATTCGGCATTATATTACATACACACACACATACACACATGAAAAAAAATATATATATATACGATTGAGTTGAGAGCACAGCAGAAAGTAACGAAACAAAAGGACACGCACCCCTGCGGTAAATAGAGAGACTGCAAAGCATTTAGGAGAAAGGCACTTTTTAATTGCCCCCGTTTTTTGCGTATCGAGAGGAAACGCCGTGTTTGCACCTCGCATGCGTCCGACTGCAATTACGTGACGAACGGTGTCGAATGCGTCGAGCCGACGTCGATGCCGGCGCCGGTCGGTATCTACCAGCCTCGGCAATTCGGATTTGGTTTCCGTCACGCAGTGAATGAAGAACGAGCTCGTGTGCCCTATGTTTTGCAATAACGGAAGAGGAACAAAAAGGCGTATGGATTGCACATTATACCAGGGATATATATTTACGTGTCTGTCCGTTCTTCACGTCACCGCATGGAGCTCTTCTCCTCCAATCTCCTCCTTTTCGTTCCTCGCCCTTGTTTTTTCACTGCGCGCACTGCAATTACTACGGTGTCTGTTAAGCGTAATAATGCGTGTAAAATCGATTTATTTTGAAGTTAATTCGCGCGTGTCCTCTCTCTCTCCCTCCCTCCCCTCGTGCTCTCCTCTCCCCCCTCTCTT